GGTGTGTGTGTGTGTGTGTGTGTGTGTGTGTGTGTGTGTGTGACTGAGTGTATGTTGACTCCTTCTGTCTCCTCACAGCTGGAATGGCGTCTCCTTCTTTATCTGCTGCACTGCAATTACAGACACATGCACAGGGAGAATGACAAATAGAGTCTTCAAACATTAAATCTAAAAAAACGATTCAAATGTAAATATAAATATAATTCTAACATCTCAATAAAAAAGATTTAAGAAATAAGAAACAATGCGTTTAGCTGATTTTTAAGCTTGAAGGGTTCGCTTTGCGTGACTTCCACCCACAAACAGTGTGTGTCACTTCMTTTTGAGGTTGTCACCGCACTGACAGATACAAACTGACTTGGACAGCCACGCTCACAAAACACACACCGAGACACTTGAGTCGGGGTCTGAGTCCAGCTGGAGGTGGTCTTCTGCCAAACCTGCAGGGAGGCTGACTATTCATATTCATCACACACACACCCTGATTGGAACTGACAGGACACGCACACACATACACATATGAAGTCAAGGAGAGAAAAAATAAAAAAAAATGGTGAAAACATTTTCCTAAAGATTTCATAAACCGTTTTGTTGCTTTTGATGCATTTTTTAAATTTCTAAATACCTGCATTTATAATTAACGAAGACTGTTTAAGGGAGAAAAATGAGGTGTTTATGGGAAAGCAGCAGCCCTCACTGAAGACCAGTAACAGTAAGTAATGTCATGAGGTGTGGACTAGGAGAGGAGGAGGGAAAAAAAGAAGTTAATAGCAGCCAACAGGCTGGGAAGGCAAGAGGATGGAGAGACACAGAACAAGAGTGCTGCTCTCGACTCTTTCTTTGTCTCACACAAACACACACACTTACACAAGCGGAAAGAGACTCTATGGGGCGCCAAATAATAACGTTCCTTGTCATTATCATCACCCAGCCAAACTGCTCTCTCCTCCCTACTCCAGCACCACCTTCCATCTTCAACACAATCATTGTCCTATCGTTTACAGTCTGCCGTTAACAGGGAACATCAATACACACAACCATTAGCAGCGTGAGCTCCTTCCTCTCGAATTCTCAAGTGCTTTAATAGTCGGCGCACACACACACACACACACACACACATACAGTCGGCTGTTCACCAAGCTAGCTCCGCGCAGTCAAATCTGAACTGATGGAGTGTATCATTAAACTGGACAGTGACACGGTTGCTGTGACAGTGGTGTCGTTAGTTAACCCAAATCTAAAAACGAACTGTGCCACTTTTAAAATCTGCAGTAACATCCGACACAAGATTGTTTTAGTTAAACTTGAGTTTGAGTTTTTGTAGCTAGCCTTCGTTTTGGGCTTTTCTGGCCATCTTGACATATGAATCCAACTAAGAAGTAGACCCAGTTTGTTGTTGCAAATAGAATTCTACAAACCAACCCTGACAGATTTAAAGTCGTTTTGAGTGGCTCGGTGTGATAACAAGGAGCCGTAACAAACTGAATATCAAGGCAAATTAATTAGTTTGCATACTAATTGGTTGTACTCATAAGAAATGATGAAACACACTTTTTTCCTTTAGTAATAAAAACAAAATCAGGAGTACTGAATACTTCCCCTCACTCACAAAAAAGTCACTTTTATTTGATTCGTGATATCTTCACTCTAAATCCAATTCTCTTTAATTGTAGATGCAAATTAGTGTGGGCAGCTGTCTGACAGGATAATTAACAATAAAATAAACCTTTGCTCAAACTCATATGAGCCAGAAGCACAATGAGAGGCAGATAAGGAGGGCAAATGTAGCGATATAAAGGGAGGGAGGGGTTTCCCACAAATCTGCACTGTAATTTTGGAATGAAGGGTTTTTTTTGGGGTTTTTTTTTTTAGTGGAGGGTGTGCTGGGCAGGATGCTGGGAAGCCTGGGAGGAGCACAGGGTGGGTTATATGGGTTGGTTACGGATGGGGGCTGTGGGACGTGTGGTACGGCTGTTAAACTCGTGCAAATTGGTTTTGACAGACTGAAATAGAAAAAAGCAGAAATAAAGATGACAGCTTTAATAACGCATGCACACATGGACACATTAAAAATGGCATTTGTGACATATTTGTTCTGATTAAATAGAAAATATTTAGCAAAAAACACAGAAACTTAGGCTAATGATAGATATTTTTAAAATGTCTTTAAGGTCCAAGAATAGATAATGAGTTTGTTTTCTTAAATTCCCACCATTATAATCTTCCTGACTCGGTGGTCTCATGATTTTTACTTTAACCAGCAATATGTGTGTGTGTGTGTGTGTGTGTGTGTGTGTGTGTGTGTGTGTGTGTGTGTGTGTGTGTGTGTGTGTGTGGCAGGGTGGTGGTAAACCGCAGACAACCTCTAGGTGCCACTGCGCTGAGAGTGTGTGTACGCTTGCGTGCCTCCTCCATGTCTGGACCTGGACAGAAAACAAACAGGAAAGAGGGAGGGGGTGTGGGGGGGGAGATATTAAGATATTATACACATTTGCATGAAGCTACACACAGTGGAATGAAGCACAAAAACACACAAAAAATATAGAAACACACATCCAGTTCTAACAACGATAAAGTTAATGTGTGTTTTACAAATAATCGTTCTTGGGGTTTATATTTGAAGCATGTTCTAAAAATACTCAAAAGAAATGAATGGCGTGAAGTTTGTTTACTTTAATAAGTCACCAATTCATCCCCTTCAAAGAACCGATTGAAATTTTGCATTGAGCTCACTTGCAAGCCAGTTCTTATCAACCGCTTGGGTGGTCCTGAAAAAACAAAAAAACACCAGCAAAGAGTCACCGTGTGTAGATTTACTAACTAAAAAAAATATCAATGCTCAGGCATCCTAGCTTTAACTGATGTAAAAAAAAATCAGAATATAGAATCATTTTGCAGTCTGTAAAATCTTGATAAAACATACTAGAAATTGAGTAATGTAGTATATATAAAAAAAGACACAAACAATAATGTGTCGTATGAAATTTGCTTTACAGACAGGCTGAAAGAGAATGTCAGAGACAGATTTTATCAAAAAGAATTTGAGTGAAAAAAAAAAGAAAAAAGGTTGACCAGATGGAGAAGAAGAATCACATTAAAGTAACAGAAGGGGGCTGATGTTGCTTATTTATATCAAACTAAAACTATTAATAAAGTAAAAAAAAACTAAGTATATTTTTCAAATAATTGATCCATTTCTCATTGAAATTCTTGTTTTGCATTTTTTTCTTCATAAATCACCCCATCACCTGTGTGAAAAAAGACACTCCCCCATATCATCATGATTACTGATTATTTGTTGTTTCCTTCTGTCTTCTGATGTTTTCTTTGATTCGAGCGCCGTTTGGGCTTCCATTGTGACAGATAATGAGTCATACTGAGCACTCTGAGAGCTGCTGCTTCGTTTTCAGTCAATAAGCACATCAAAGTTCCTGTAAAAGTTACACTCATTAACGTTTTTTTTTAACCCACTTTAGCCGCATTAAGGATTTCTGTAAGAACCATACAGATCACAGTTTTAAGTAGTCCCTCTGAGTCTTTTTTTTTCCACTCCAATCTCCTTTGGTTTAACTCCTTTTTGCCCTCTGGCAGAAAMTAGACCAAGTTGCCATAATTAGATGTGGGAAGTACAAGGGTTTGTTCTTAAAAGATATCAAAGGGTCTAACTGTGTTGTGTTAAAGTATACTATGTGCACATTTTAACCAGTTCTGTTCTTGCTTAGTGTGACCATGAGGTTGCATTATATTTGCAAAATTAATCTTCASTTTTAACATTTTAACCTCCACTGTGAGAAAGTTTTACTTGCATATCCATATTATTTTTAATCACTTTTTTGCTGAGTTGTATACAATATTTAAAGTGTTGCAACTCTAATAAAGCCATACTAAAGCATACCACAGCAGCTATAACAACCTTTAGTAATTAAACGTGCAATACAAAAACTTGCAAAAAAAGGACAATCTGTCCAAAAAGGTTTTTAAAAAATGGCTTGCTAAAATAGACGTGCAAGCGAAATGTAGTTCCTCTGAACTCCTCTCAGCCGGATCTACACTCTCAGAGAAAGAACAATGATTAACCTTGACCGTAAGAAAAATTGCTTCAATTGTTCATACTTCACTTTGATGTTAAATAAGAGAAAGCCCAGGAAAGCGGCTCGCTACAGTCAAGGGACAAATTAAAGCCTTTATGCCGACTAAGAACTTGCTGCCTCGTTTCTTTTTGTAGAAGTTTACCGGCTGTAATGCTTCATTGTTGGCATCTGCCAATGCTCAAATATTGGTGCACTTATTATTATTTTTTTCTGATGTATTTTCTGTATTTTTGTTGAAGGAGCTAAAGTACTCTTTGGCTACGTTTTAATGTTGCCATTTTCCTAACATCTTTCTGCACCATTTCTTTCCAATTTCTTTTACAGTTTTTTCTTCCCCCACTACCTTTCCCCAACTGCACTGTGCTTCTCTCTACACACTTCAATAGGCAGACTTGCTGAAACCGGGGAGGGTACCTCCATCATTAAAACTCCAGTATCTGCACCAAGGTATATCCTTAGGTACATTTAAATGGGGGGGGGGGGGGGGGGGGGGGATACCACCCAAGGCTTTAACAGTGAAGTTTCATGTACTCCCTGCTAAGCTAACTGACACAAAAGGAAAAGTTGCAAACGAAGAGCTATTTCAGGAACTTTTAGAACACAGAAAGCGTTTGTTAATGACTGAATTGTGCAGCTGTTCTTTCTCAGAAAAGAACATTTAGTGGTTAAAATCAGACAAGTATCGTTGAAGGTATACAAAGCTAACCTTCTGCTGATCCCGGCAGTATTTTTATGCCTTTCAGTTTCAGCTAAATGCTGCTCTTGTGGTCCTGCATGGTTAGACGAGTTGAGAACAACACAGAGATTTAGAGTTCTGCTTCCACTGGGCCACCCAGGGCTGACATGTACGATACGCGAGAGTGAAAGATGCTGACGTAAGAAAAAAATACAAAAATCCTGCCGTTCTGACCTGGGCTTTTTGCGCTACATGCGAGCCCTTTCAGGGCATAAATATWTTTCAAAGACTTAGAGAAGCATTTATGGTTTTTATGGTAACCTTACGTGCATGAATGTAACCCCCGTTCGTGTCATCTGGCTTCAGCTGAATGCCTAAATACAGGCTTGGATGAAAGCTAAAGTTAGTTTCATGATGAAATGCAGCAGGCATACAGATTTAGTTGTTTCTAGTAAAGCAAAGCAGTCGTGATTTAAGTGCASGTCTGAATGTCTTGTATGTCAGCCAGCTGCTTTGTTCGCCTGTGCCACGGTCCAAACAACCAACACAGGTACCAGAGCAGGAAACGAGTGGCACGACTCTTTTTACCTCTATATTTACGCTCCGCTATATATGTTAATCTTTGTCCTTTGTTGATGTGTTCCCTCCATATTGTGTCTGTTTATAATAAAACTAGCAGAGACATGTAGAGCTAGACCACCCAGAGAAGCTACCCAAACACCCTCCTCAAAGAAATGCACTAGTTTTAATTATATCCATCCACTGGGCGTGACTTTCTGCTTAAAACAGAAATCTGAGCCAATCCCGCCAACCAATAAGCCACAAACCTCCTGAAACAACCATATGGGAAAAAAAATAAAATAAAATACTTTTGTGTCAATGTTCTGACCCTAAATGAAAGTAAACATGATAAGTGCTGCAGGGAGTTATTTTTTATTTTTACTAAGAAAGAATCTGGTTTTATATTAGTATTTCTTTTTGGTTAAACAAAAAATCTGTAGTCTTGCATTTTGTTTTTTCTGTTTTTTTTTTAATGGTGAGAACCTGATTGAAAGAAACACCTGTGCAATGCTTAGGCCTTCACAAACAGGAGGAAAGACGTGACAGCTTGTACACGAGGACCCACACATGAGCCGTATTATCATCTGGTCTGAGGAGGAGGTTGTTGTGACTGCCTCGTTCTCTTTCATGATCTCTAATTTTCAAGCTGGGAATGTGTRCGTGTGTGTGTGCGTGGGGAGGTAAATCGGTCGGCGTGCATGTAGAGGCATAAAGGCTTATGAAGACAGAAATGAGAGATAGAGTCTTAGCAGCAACTATCTGCCAGACAAATCCTCYGTGTGCTTTGATCTGCTGCCCACTTCTCCCTCTGTTTTTTTCCAAGCAAACAGCTGTGAGGTTTCGCTGAGGTGTAATGAGATTCCAAGACCCCCCCC